GCATTGACACTGATAGAGTGAAGCAACAGCCCACTGCATTAATTTCTATTGGGTTCTCGTGGCATTTAACATGAGAATTACTGAAGAGCTAAATTAGCTTCATACATAAACAAGAATCAGTACTGTTACTGAAAGAGTTTTTGGCCAAGACAGGACACTGTAGCCAGTGAGGCAGAACCAAGGAGCTCCTATCTCCCCCACCCCTAGGAATTTACCTGTGACTCAAATTTCCCTGCACCTAGGTATTTACCTATGATGCCAAACAAAGACCAATGGACTACTTGTGCATCCCTAATGGCCCCTCAGGGTCCACCCCAAACCTAGGTTGCTTAGGCATGCCCCCATGCCACAAGTCCATGAGAGAGAAAGCCAGACTCCAGTGGTCAGGGGGTTTTTGTTTTCTCTCTTCGCATTCTCAGAATAAAGGGCCCTTTTGTTTTAAACTTCTCATCTGTTGGACGTACTATATAATCTTATCAGTTAGGATTTTGTGGCCGAATAGAGAAGCAGAATATAAGAAAAATTTAAATTGTCCTTTCTATTTAAAGAATGTGGAGGGGAGCCTACAGCCACCAAGGGTTTGCCTTTTTTTCTGACTGATTATGGGATTATGGAGTGCATATGAAATTTTGCTCTATCTGGTGCCTGGCACTGACATTGATGTCATGCAAGGAGCTGATAGGAATTTTCTTTGGGCCCCTGGGAAAGGAATGAGGAAGTTGCATTCAGGGGAAAAAAAGAGGAAGTAGCCATATGAGTAAGCATGGCTGATTTGAACTTTAACCCTGATGAACTACCACCATGAGTCCTGTAATTTATTCTAGGGCAAAACTCTTTCAAGTACATCCTTCAGTTTGAATTACAAAATGAAAATAAAGAATTTTTGCTATGTGTCTTCTTCTACAGTTAGTGGTAAACAATTCACAAGAAAAGTTTTTAGTCATTTCCTTAATACATTGTACAAGTAAACAAAACTACAGATCAGTTCACTTTCAGCAAACAGAAGCAGCACTCAAAGGCAAGGATAAAGCCCTTCAGTGCAAGTGTCCCTTAAAAGGTGAGATCAACTTTTAAGAATACAACCATCTACTGATTTCTCTGACTTCAAGAAAAAGAAAAATTCATAGTGGTATTGCTATAGGGGAATGAAACTCCCGGGCTACTATGCTGGTATCAGTTTGTGTTCTCTGAAGTCCAAAAAGGAATTTTAGGAACAACAAAAGTCAAGTTAATATACTTATTTGGAGAAAGACAGCTGTGGGAGAGATTGAATTCATCCTGAGTGGGTTGGCAAAGACTGTCTTTTCCATGGACTTTTTTATAGAGTAAAATCATGTGGTGAGATGGGTTTAAGTTGGAGAAAACTGGGAACTCAAAATGCAGATGGGCATAAGATGGGACAGATCTATGGTTGTCAATAAGATAAATAGTCCAGGTAAAGTTAATTAAATTGGGAACAAATGGGTAAGGGAGTCACATAGAAAGCAGGCATTCTTAGGCAGCAGTGAAGCTTCCCTTAGGAAGTTGGGAGGGTGACTCTTAATAGGAACTAATTACAATATCAGTCTTTAGGATATGGAGACATTTATTTGAATGGTGACTCCTGACTTCCTCAGAGTGCTAGGGAACTATTTAGAATATCAGTCCTTAGAGTATGGATGAATTTGTTGATTTTCTGTCTTGAGGCTTGGCCCATCCCAGGAGCTGTCCATTGTTGTAACCTAGTTCTAACCAATGGACCGACCCCCTTTCTGTTCTGTATGCTCCATTTCAATAGAGATTAAAATTCCATCTACAGTAAAGACTTAAATTTCATCTCCTTGTAAATCCCCCTCCCCTCCCTATTCTTTTTAGATTAAGTAAACTTTAAGTTTCACTTTCTTGTAATCCCCCCAACCCCCTTCAGCCTATCTGCAATACAATGTGCTGTCTTTTAGAAAAGTTTAACTACAAGGAAGTTATCAAACTGGGTCCAAGTTTGCAACATTCCTGTGGTTTTTGGCTTTAAAACCAACCTTTTTAGCTGTAAGGCTGGCAGTCTCCAAATTGGCTCCTGGAGATTGCATTGCCAGGCCTGGCCTAAAATAAAGCCTTTGCTCCCAAAATTTTAATTTCTTGCTTCCTTGGGTTTTATTCCAGGGTCCAAACTATCACATCCATCTTATCCATAGGTGCAAGGTATCTGGGTTTCTGCATGAGCTCCTTGGAGGACCTAGCTCTGTCTCACTGCCAATAGTATTTAACTAACTCAGCTTCCCATAACAGTATTTTTCTGAAAATTGAATACAGATGTCTTGTGCTCTGGGTGAATGATGTGGGGATGACAGTGTGCAATGTATATACCAGTGTTGCCCCCTGATTCACATGTTCTGAAATTTAATTTTAGTTTATTTTTTTTATCCTTGAAATAAAATGGATTTGGAAATGAAAAGCCTGAAGTAAAGCCCTTTGGTACACATATTCCTCTGTGTAGCTGAGATCAACATTGTAGAAGACAGCCAGCTCCAGAAGTCTCTGACTACAGTCTATCATTTGGGATCCACTCTTGCAGGAAGGAGTTCCTTTCCCTGTTTATTTTTGACTCAGAAGAAGGGCAGTAGAGCAGCAGTCAATCAGTGATGAAGAGGCAGGCTATATGAAATGTCCAGTTAGGTGAGCCATGACAGGGGGTCTCTTGGTCTCTTCCATTGTCTAGGCAATATTTACCTGTTTAGAGCACAAAACTGGGAGCAGAATACTTGCTGCATCTCATTTCCTAGTTTTGGGGTCCTGTGGCCTGATTAGCAAAGAACCTGGGAGACGCTGTAGACACAGAATAGTGAGGCTTTGGATGGGAGGCCAGAAATAGGGTGGAATTGGGAGAAACCAGTTACAAGTGGTTAGAAGCAGTTCTGGTGTCTGCAGACACAGGTATTTAGACAGCTTCAGCTCCTGATATATTCTAGCATTGGCTTTGGGTCATCCACTGTCCCTTTTTACTCCTGCTGGGAGTAAGCATGATTTTGTTTTCCCAGAACCCTGCCCTAACTATGATAGCAACAGACTGGAGTATTGTCTTTGAAATTCTCTACTACCCTGGCACCTCCATTATAGGGGGCAGAGGAAGGAGCTTGGGGAGACCCTGACTCTGATGCATTTTGTAGCTGGCGCAGCAGTACTGAGCTTGGTCTCTGTTCTCATTCCAGTTAGCAGCAATATTTAGCTTCTAAAGTTTATAAATATCTCTAATGCAGGACCTCATATCTACAATGGCTCTCCTTAAACTTGTGCTTCTTTGTATTTATAGGGATCATCTAAATTTATGGTATATTCTCACATTTCCATCCTCATGACAGGTGTTGGCAAAAGTCCTAATAATTCAGAGATGTTTAGTGATGTGGCTCAGTGGAGGAAGGCTTCCCAAACACCTGGGGAACTCCTGTGAATTACACAGAACAATGCAAAGAATTTCTGAATGTACTTTTTGTTACCCACCTGCTCCTAAACTATGTTTGTGAGAACAGTGATAGAAGTTTGAATTCTGACTAAAATGAAACTGATTTAAAAGCGTTATCAAGGGCAGAGTAAAGTGTGTTTGCTAAGGACAAATTCCAGAAAGGGCTGCCTGTTAGATCCTCATTGAAAAATTCCTAAATTTAGTCATTTGCATGAACATATACAGGTGATATTGTTCTGGATGGAAAGGAATATGGGTGTCAGCTCTGAATTAATAGCTGATTTAATAGCTTGGTTGATCATAGACATTGTTTAAATATGGAAATGCTCTGCAGTGGTCTTTACTAAGTCATGTGAAGATGTCCTAAATTGAAATTGTGCAGGGATATCAACAGTTTAGGCATGAAGGGTTTTCTGCTTAGGAGGGATCAGAAGAGCATGGAAAGGATGTGGAAGTGACTGGCAGGAAACAATGTGACAATAGCATGACATACAACAGAGAGCGTCCTCACTGAAAGTCAGGTATTCTTAGGGCAAGCATGAAGTTAAAGGTGGCTTATTGTTTCTTCCTTGAGGTGAATAACACCAGCTCTGGTAACAATCAGTATTCCACATCTCTGTAAACCCATGAATTCTGTGTTCTTCACTTGAGATCCAATTTTGATTATCTCTAATTATGACCCGGTATCATGAAAGTGAAAGTTGAATTTTTTTGTACCAAGGATCGAACACATGATCTCAAGCTTGCCAGTTAGGTTTTCATGCTGCTAGCTAAATACCCAGCTCTGAAAGTGTTTTCTCTATATTATGAATGATATCAACATTGTTCCTGAGAAAATGTTGAATATTGTGAAATTTTTGTATATTGCATGGCTATAAATTTTTTTAAAGCAAACCAAATATGTCTCATGCAGTCACTTCAAATTTCACATTGTCTGTGAGGTGTCTCAGTCAGGGTTTCTTTATTCGAGACTGCTCTATAACTTAGGCTAGCCCCAGACTCAAGGCAGTTCTCCTGCATCAGCCTCCCAAGATATATTTATTATATCTGAATGTAAAGTGATCACTTGGTGACACTGAGCTATAATTTGAAGCTTGTACCTGGTTTCATTGTTTATACATTTTTTACTTACAGCAGTTTTCCATGAACATTTATTATTTATGTAACATATCTGATGTTATTTATGTTTTGTTCTATGAAACCAAATCCAAATATCAAAATGCTGCTTATGTATATTAAGAACAAAGGACTCAGTGGCCTAAATGAGATTTGAAGAGATATCATTGGTAGTACATCAAAGTGATTGATGAGTGAGATATTTGTCTGTCTCTGTGCTTTTGGAAGTTGATCCTGCAGGCTCCCACTATAAGCTCAGCATTAGAGCCAGTGAATAGGGACTCTTTCACTGACTCAGCACAAGCATCAGTGCTCCTATTTGGCTGTAGCATTAGCAGTGAGTTCCAATCTAGTATTAAATTTGCTGTCTCAAAAAATGTGTATATACAAATAATTAATGCCTGAGACATTGAATTAAGATTTGAAGGAATCAGTCTCCATTCAGCTGTTTTGTTTGCATTTATTTGTTTAGTTTTATTTTATTGAGACAAGTTTTCTCTATGTATGTCAGCTAGATTTGAACCCCTTACAGAGCTCAGAATTGCCCTAACCTCAAAGCAGCACTCCTGTTTCAGCCTCTTAAGTGTGGGGATTATAGATATATTATTTTTACCCCAGGAAATATGGAGGCTTGTAACTTAGCCATGTTGTAGCTTGGCATAATAGATGCCATTTTGAGCTTTGCCTTTAAATGGTGCCCTGTATTTTACCCAGCAAAATGGAAAATCACTCAGGGTAGAAGTCCCAGGAGAAAAGCAAAATGAGCTGTACCCAATGAAAAAAATTTAACCTGCTCAGCAAAAAAAACAGAATACAATTATCATACAAAAATTATTGTAAGATTCTAGCTCAATGATTTCCAACAGGATATTTTGTGATTTTATCTTTTAAAACATCTGTAACTTTCCACTTCAGAGCCTCTTGTTTAGATCCTGAAATGGGGGTGGTGTTTCTGTATACAAGTGGTCCTGAGACCAGCTAATGAAATTCCGCATTTCTTAATTGGGTAGCTTGGTTTCCTATAACTCAACTCAAGCAGCAGAAACTTTAACTGACACAAGCAAACACCACAATTAAAAGGCAGTGCCACTGAAATGAAAGAATAATAGTGAAAAGGAGAGGAGAAAAATAAAAATGCCATGTGTTATAATGCCCACCTCTTTTCCACATCAATGAAGAGGCTAAAACAAGAGAATGGCCATATACTCAAGGACAGCCTAACCTACAGGTGAGTGCAAGGCTGGCCAGAACTCCAAAGTGAGACTAGGTCTTTAAATCAAAAAACTAAAATGAAAAAAATAAACAACCAAGGGGAGAGAAAGACTACTAAAAAAAAAAAAAACAATAATAAAGCTGTGTGAAAGTTGATTTCTCTAAAATGGAAATTATTGAGTGATGCTGCAGAGGAAAGAAATCCATGTAGTGGCATCCAGGAGGCTGTGACCAACACAGACTTAGGAATGGCACCTATTGTGCTACAGTACAACAGTAATTCCTTCCTGCAATACATCTGAAATTCACTACACTGAGGATTTCTAAAAGCTCTTGGAAATGTTAAACCCATGGCAAACAAGCAGCTTGAAATCCAGGCTTTGGAACATGGCCTTTAGCAGACATTTCATATTCAAATTCAAATAAGATTAATATAATCCTGCCCTGTTTGATGTCAAATGCACCAAGTTTAATGGCTTACAACATTGAGAAAGGAAGTCACAAACCAAAAGAAGCTCAAAAGTTTTCTTAGAAAAAAAGAGAGAAGTGTAGCCCTGAATTTTCAGGAGTGGTCTTCAGTGTTTGGCCACAGACCTATTGTTAGGAGTCATTTAAACAGGAAAGTCACAATGTGGGTACAGTGTGGGTCTCAAACTACAACCAAAATATAAGCTTAAAGCTGCTTAACTAATATTATTCATCAGGGGAAAAAGTCAGCCAGAAAAGGTATGTGGAAAGAGCCAAGGCATTTTGTGGGAACAATAGTCCAGTTGTTCTGGTCATTGAGTATGGTAATAGATGCCTCTCTGGACTTCCTGGAGAAGGTGGTGGTAACTGTAGTACATTTCAAGCTGTTGTTTTTCTCTTCAGGATCGTGTAGACATGGTCACTGCATCTTCTTGTTCTGGTATGGCTTTCTTCAGCAGTGAATGTTGTATTTAGAATTTTGCATTGACTCTTTGGGGTTGCATTTCTTCTCTGATTGTATATCAATTTCTGTCTACATTGACATCCTTTGCTAAAATCACAATATTATTTGAATGAATAAAGTGATGTTTATACATTTAAAAATATTCATTAATACAGGCCAGGGATTTAGCTCAGCAGGCAAAAACACATGCCTGGAAAGTGCTAGGTTGTAACTTTGATCCACGGTATCTAAAAAAAAAGTAATTTAAATGGCAATGAAATAAAATAATTTCATTTATGAAAATGTAGGTTTAAACCTTTATAACTAAATATGTAAATGGCAAATTAAGCATTGTTAATAGTCATATTTAGTATCTAAAGTTGTTGGGGCTGGGGATTGAGCTCAGTGATACAATGAGCTGCCTGGAGAGCACAAGGTCATGAGTTCAATCCCTCACAGAAAAAAATAATTCACAGTTGTCAATGATGCAGTGCTATGAACACATTCATTGAGACTGATACTTGTTAATTAATAGGCTCAATGTTTCTTTTGTGGTCTACAAAATACATGCAGATTACATGGCAATTACAGTGAATGATATACTATCCCCTATAGGATTGCTATTTTCTGAGTTGTTTTTATTTTTTGTTTTCCCACATAGTTGAAAGTTGAAAATGTTGGCTGGTGCTAGGTAGAAAAACTGTGGTAATCATTTTTTCAATTTAATGATATATTTCCCTATATTCATTAAGAACATTGTATTTGCTACAATTATTCCAAGTGAAATTGATAAACAATTCTTAAAGTTACAGGCAGCTGAGTTAATTAGAAATACAGGCAGCCATACCGTGTTATATTAGAATGAAATTCCTGACTTTCTATGTCTGGTATGAGTTTGTGTTCTCTAAAATGGAAGAATGAATTTTAGGAACAACAGAGGTGAAGAGCAGAATATATATATTTAGAGAAAGAACGTGAAAGTATTTTGTCCTAAGTAGGATATTTTGGCAGTGGAATGAGGAGCCAGGAAACTGTTATCTTGAGATCACTTTCCCCTCCCCTATGCAACTTACCTGTGTCCAGAAAAGAGTCTCAATCAGGCACCTGCATACAGCAATGCCACCTTTAAGCACCACCCAAATCAAAACTATATGTGTGCCCCACACATTTCCAGAAGAAAAAGCCAGACCCCAGTGGTCATGGGATTCTCTCCAACATCTTAGAATAAAGGCCATTTTGACTTTATATTCTCTTCGTTACTACACCAAAAATCCTATTGGAAAGCTTCTGTCTGAGAGAAAGAGGAGGGGTTCTGAGCAGGTAGCAAAGGGCTCTGTCTTTTCTAGGGACTTTATAGAATAAAATCATGTGGTGAGATAGGTATAAAGTGGGTTAGATTACTGAGGTTAGTGAGGAGGTAAATTAGCACAATAGAGAAGCAGAATATAAGAAATGGAAAAGTGACCTTTTATTTAAAGAATGTGGAGAGGTTCCCACAGCCACCAAGGGTTTGGCTTTTTTTTTTTTCTGACTGACTATGGGGTTTCGGAGTATAGTGACTTTTGACTGGATGTGTTGCTTGGAGGGGACATTGATGTCATGTAAGGAGCTGATGGAAATTTTCTTTAGGCCCCTGGGAAAGAAAGAGGAAGTTTTAATCAAGGAGAAAAGAGGAAGTGGCCATATGAGTAATCATCCCCAATTTCACCTTCTTCTACCATGGACTACAACCATGAGGTCCTGTAATTGTTTCTAGGGCAAAATTCTTTCAAGTACATCCTTCAGTTTGAATGAAGAAATCAAAACAAAGAACTTTTGCTATCTGTCTTCCTCCATGGCTGGTGGTAAACCATTCATAAGAAATATTTTGAGTCATTTCCTTAATGCATTGTTGATACCATAACCAAAATTACAGATCAGATCACTTTCAGAAAACAGAAGCAGAACTTGAGGCAGGGCTAAAGCCCTTCAATGCAAGTATCACTGGAATGGTGACATCAACATTGTAGAATACAAACTACTGCTGATTTCTCTGACTTCAAGAAAGAGAAAAATTTATACTGATATTGCTATAGGGGAATGAATCTCCCAGTCTACTATGTCTGATATGAGTTCATGTTCTCCAAGGTCAAAGAATGAATTTTAGGAACAAAAGAGTTTAAGGGAAAATACACTTATTGAGAGAAATAAAGCTGCTTGAGAGAGAGAAGTGTTTCTGAGCAGGTTGCCAAACACTGTTCTTTCTAAAGACTTTATAGAGTAAAATCATGTGGTGAAATGAGTTTTAGGTGGGGAAAACTAGGAACTCACAGTGCAGATGGGCATAAGATGGGACAGAGCTATGGTAGCCAATAAGATTATAAGTTCAGGTAAAGTTGATTAAATTGGGAACAAATGGGGAAGGGAGTCACATAGAAAGCAGACATTCTTAGGCAGCTGTGACTCTTCACAAGAATACACTATAAATTTTCTTGTGTTTCCATCCTCATCACAGGTATCGGCAAAGGTACTGAGTGTTCAAAGATGTGTAGTGATGTGCCTCAGTGGAGGAAGGCTTCTCAAATACCTGGTGAATTCCTGTGTATCACACAGAACAGTGCAAAAGAATAATGAACATAATTATTTAGGTTACACCTCTGCTCACAGACTGTTTGTGAGGTCAGTCATGGATTTTTGAATTCTGAGAAAAATGGAACAGATATGAAAGTGTTATCAAGAGCACGGTAAAGTGTGCCTGCTAAGGACAAATTCCAGAATCACCTGCATATTAAACCCTCATTGAAAAATGCCAAAATTTATGCATTTGCATGGACCCATACACATGATGTCCTTCTGAATGGAAAGGAATAGGGGTGTCATCTCTGAATTAACAGCTGATTGAACAGCTTGGCTGATAATACACATTGTTTATATATAGAAATTCTCTGCAATGGACTTTACTAAGTGGTGTAAAATAGAATCCTTAAATAGAAGTTGTGCTGCAGGGATATCGATAGTTAGGCATGAAGGGTTTTCTGTGTAGTGTGGTTCAGAGGAGAATGGAAAGATTGTGCAAGTGATTGGCATGATACAGGGTGCCAATAGCAGGATTTACAACTAAGAAGATCTTCACTGAAAGTCAAGTGGTTCTTAGGGCAAACATGAAGTTAAATTTGGCTTCTGATTTCTTACTTGAGATGAATAACACCAACTCTGTCAATAATCAGTATTCCACATACCTGTTAACCCATGAATTCTGTGTTCCATACTTGAGATCTAATTTTGATTTTCCCTAATTTTGTGCCAGTGTCATGAAGTAGGAATTTGAATCTTTTTTTTTTTTGTACCAGGGATTGAACTCATTAGCTCATGCTTGCCAGGCCAGTGTTTATGCCACTGAGAGAAATACCCAAACATGAATGTGTTTTCTGTATATTATGGAAAGTATCAACATTCTTCCTCAGAACATGTTGAATGTTCTTGGAATGTTACTGTATTGTATGGATATAATTTTAAAAACAAACCAATGGTGTTTTCTGCAGTCAATTTTCAAGTTTCATTTTTTGTGGGGTTTTTCAGTCAAGGTTTTTCTCTCTATTTCAGACAGCTCTGTAACTGAGGCTGGCCTCTAACTCAAGGCAGTTCTCTTGCATCAGCCTCCCAAGATATATTTCTTATTTCTGAGTGAAAGATGATCACTTCGTGACACTGAGCTATAATTTACAACTTGAGCCTTGTTTCATTGTTTATACATTGTTTACATACACAGTTTTCCACTATCATTTGAGTCATTATTTACGTACCATATTTGATGTTATTTATGTTTTGTTGTATGAAACTAAATTCAAATTTCAAAATGACGCTTAGGTATACTAAGATCAAAGGACTCGGGGGCTGGAGATTTAGCTCAGTGGCATAAGTACCTGCCTTGCAAGCAGGCAGTCGTGAGTTCAATCCCCAGTATGGGTAAAAACAAAAAAGACAAAAAAAAAAAAAAAAAAAAAAAAAAAAAGAACAAAGGACTCAGTAGTGACCTACATGAGATTTGACAAGATATCATCTGTACTCTATCAAAGTGATTCATGAGATATTATTCTACCCCTTTGCTTTGTGGATGCTGGTCCTGTAGGATCCTACTGTGAGCTCTACTTTAGAGAAAGTGCACAGGGACTGTTGCAGTGACTCATCACAAAAATCAGTGCTCCCATTTGGCTGTGAGTTGCAATCTAGCATCCAAATTGCTTTTTCAAAAAATGTGTCTAAACATAAAATTAATCACTAAGACATGGAGTTAAGCTTTGAAGAATTCAGTCTCCATTCAGCTGTGATGTTTGGTTTTACTTTGTTTAGTTTAGTTTTGTTTTATTGAGACAGGATTTAACTATGTACATGAGCTGGATTTGAAACCCCTATAGTGCCTACAATTTCCTTGACTTCACAAGAGCCCTCTTCTCTCAGCCTCTTGAGTGCTGGGTGTATAGATATGCACCAACTCTGCTTCTGATTCATATTTTTATGAGAAAATTTAAGGTATCCCAGGCCGTGAGTATCAATCTTCCTTTGAGAAATATATGTATGAATCTTTAGGATCATACTTTTATCACATGGCCACTCAGCAGTTATACCCTAACATGGGAAGCACATTTGTTTATGCACTGATTATGCTGAGTGTCATTGGGGCAGTTGTCATTTTAACCAGTTGATGCTTGTATTGAATACATTACAATAGTCACTTTTATATTTCTTCTTATTTCATAAAAACTAACAAAAAGTATGCAAATTTGATTATCTTTTATTTAAATAATTTCACTGGTAAGGACTTATGTATAAAGCCCCAGGCTAAGTGTGATTCCTTTAGTCCCAGCATCAGCAGAGGATGACATCAGATGATCATGGCTTTGAAGCTGACTTTGGGAGGAAATTTTGCTAGATGATCTAGCAGAATATGTGGCAGTTGTTTTTATACCTGCATTTGAAGTTTAAGAAACAGGTAAGCTTAGGTCAAGAATATAAATGTAGGATAGGATAGCTGAACCAAACTGCAAATCATGATTTTTTGGGGGGCTCAGGAAATGTGATTTTCATGGTAATTTGTGCAGCAGTCTTAAATATGCCTGTATTAGAGTAAA